AGACCATCTTGGCCCAGTTTGTCCAGGAGCTCCTCATATTAACACCGGAACTCCCGTGTCACCCTCCAGTACCCTTGCTCTGTTTGGCCCAGCCCTGAATTAGGAGCTGGCCAGGCGGACTCCCGGAGGCAAGGGCCTTGGGCACGTCCTCCTCTATCAACCTGTGCCAGGCTGTGGTTCGGTGACACATGACCGAGTGACACCTCCCACAAAGCTCCACGACTGCTGAGCGGTGTCGCTCTCATGCTGACGGCCACCAATCTCCACCAAGGAGGACACTGAGATCAACTAGGGGCAATCTGTGCCTTTTCCACACTCCGGCCATGAAACTGGGGCAACTGGTTTGCGATACCAGGCATGAGCTTGGGGTTCCCCAGGAGTATGGGCTGTGCACACACCAGGGCCCTTTCCGTGTCCGAGGTGGGGTGCTGATAGGAGGGAGGATTGAGGCTCCCCAGGAACATCCTGGAAGGACACTTGGTTGCTTGTGGCTGGGCTCATGACTGGGTTTGGGCACCACGGAGCACTGGGAGGCCAGCTTCTGTCTCTCCAAGTGGAGAGCATCTGCCAATATAGGATTTTAGGAAGGGCTTGTTTCAGGAGTCTACTCCTGTGGAACAAGCCACCTCAAAACACGGTCACAGAAAACAAGGGCCATTTCTGTCTGCTCATGGAGTCTGTGGGTCGGGAATCTAGACGGGGCACAGCACATCTGCCCCTCAGTGTCTGGGGCCTCCGTGGGGGCGTCGTGAAGACTGTGCTGGTGAAGCTGTGGGAAAACAGCCCCTGCGGGTGGGAGTGGAGGGTGCTTGGGCAGTCATCACCAAGGCGACCAGTGCCCGTGCCCTCTGACCCAGCAAGTTGTCTTTAGGAAATTATCCCACAGGAAGGTGTGCACACGGGCGCCGGGAAGTTGTGCAAGCACACGGATTGCAGCGCTCTTTGAAACAGTAAAACACTACTGGGAGGCTGCCTAATAAAACCCTGGCATCTCTGACCACGGCATGCGGCGTACTGTTAGAGCCGGTGTCTGCCCAGAGTGATCTCCAGGATACGGGGAAGTGAACACCAGTCACACAGCCTGAGTACAGTATGCACCCTCGGGGTCAAAGGAAACACTTGTTAGTAGCTGGATACACTTGCCTATGTCTGAGTATCTGTACAAGACGCATAAGAGAGGTACTTAGCTCTAGCAGGTGTTCAGGACTAGGTCCTCGGAAGACCAGGATCCGAGAGACCTACTGTCACTGCATATTGTGTTGTAATTTGCATTTGACGCCCGGTGAATATATTATCCATTCAGAATTAAAATTCTATTTTTAAGATGCTCACTTTTGATGCTTTTGGTCGTTAAGTCCAGACCGTCATGTGAACACAGTATACCAAGATGTCTTCGCTTGCTTCCCGGGTGCCCACCATGTGCTGTGAGGCACGCGAGCGGACATACCCCGGTGCTCGAGCTCACAACAGGCGTGCATGGCCGCTGCGTGAGAATGGGTCTGCCGTGTTCATCCCACCCATGCCTTTTTACACTCTCCCCGGCAGCCAGGCCTGGAAGCCTGCAAAGCGCACTTCGCAGACGCCCCTGTCGGGTGACTCGGCCTACAGCAGGCACGGGCAGGGGTTCCAGGGACGGGAGGGAGGGAGAAGCCATCCAATCCAGGGTGCTGTGGCGCCTCGGGCCACCGTGGTGACAGCAGCACCCCCAGGGGTGTGGCGCTCAGCTCCTGCTCCAGCAAGTGGGAGTCACGGTTCTGGGAAACACTATCTTTTCTTTTGCTTCCCCAATCTCTGGGGCCACAGCTGCTCCCGCCACTTACTAGGCGGTGGGCGTTCTTATTGTTGCTTGGCGTTTCCTGCCCTTCCAACACCTCTGTAAACTCCTTCTGCTTGAAATACCTACAGTGGCTTTGCCCCCTAACTAGACACTGACTAACACACTGAGAAAGTTACCCCCATTTTACAGAGGACAAAATGGAAACTCAAAGAGAGGAAGTGACTTAGCCAAAGGCAAACCCACTACCTCTCCTTCCTCGCCATGCTCCAGTCAGCCCGGTCCCATTTCTGGAACACATCAAGCTCGCCCACACTCCAGAGCCTTCACACGGATTCTCTCGGGGCAGAACATTCTGTCTCCAGCTCCACCTGAGCACACTCTGTCCATTCAGGTCCCAGGCAAATGTTACCTCTTGAAAGAGATCTCCTCTAGCCCCCCATAGTCTCCAAGTCACTCTACTACATCATCCTGCTTTGTTTCTTCTTAGAAATCCTCTGAAAATATGTACTTGGTTGTTACCTCACTAGACCGAAAACCCCAGGAGACCAGGAACAGTGTTCATCTTACTAAATGCTGTGTCTCTGGTGCCTAAGAGTGTGACACAGAGTACACTCAATACTTATTTGCTAAGAATGAATGAATGAAAAGGGTGCTCAATGATTTTGGAGCACCAGCTAGGACCCACCTTTCCTGCTTTCTGTCTGCTAGCAGTTCAAGGGTCTCTTCAGGAGGCTTCACTGCCTGGGAGGCCACAGGAATTCCAACTTCCACCATTCAGGCTGTGCCCTCAGTGGGTGCTCAGTTAGTACACGCTGAGGGAACTATCCTGCCTATAAACCTTCCAGAAGACGTCTGTGCAGTAAGAGTGATCCAGAGGCAACACTGGGGGTGAGGGGGCTATGTCATGTCAGCCGACTGGAAGCAGTTGGCCTGCTAGAAGTTAAGTGCAAGAGCCGGGGAGGTGGGAAGATCAGCCTAGGTGCACAGCTGTTTGCGTACTTACCTTTCCTCTGTGCATTAGACATTGGCCTGGGACCTGTCCTCACTGATGAAGACAATGGCATTCCCAGGCTCCTCCCGAGACGCACCACAGCATAGTGTAATCTCTGCAACCAGACAGCTTGGGTTCAGTCCCCGGCACCATTCCTGACCGGCAGGGTGACCTTGGAAAGTCACTCAGGTCCTCTGTGACTCGGTTGTTACACAATAACAACGTTGATAATAACAGCATCACTTTCACGGGGTTGTTGTGGAGATCAATAGTTAAATCACTTAACATATTTAGAACAGGGCTTGGCTTGACAGCACCATCGGCTGTTACTGTTACCTGTGTAACATGTATGTGCAAGTTCCATGCATGTATCACCTTATGTAATGCTCAGAGCAGTCCTATGAGGAGAGGTACTAATATCACCCCCGCTCTACAAACAAGGAAACTGAGAAACAGGTTATAGAAGCAGCCCTAGATGCAGAGTGTGGAGCCAGGCTTCAAACCCAGCTGTTCTAGAATCCCTAGAGACCCTCCTCATCACCACTCTGGTCCAGAGAAAACGGGTCTGTCTGTAGGTAATGACAAGGCAGCACGGTAATTGTTCAGAGGTCTCTAGCAATGCGGTGCATACACACTGGCACAGCGAGGCCGTGTTGTGTGACCTGAGCAGGTACTTCTGAGGTACCAGACAGGCCTACAGTCTAAAGGATAGTTGGCTGGGAGAGAAAGACATTTTAGGGACACAGCATGGACTCGCTCTCCTGGCAAGTTCCAGGCAGGAAAGAGAGGCAGTAGAAGCTGGCGAGATAGACAACGTCCAAACTGTGGAGGGGCTTCTAGATTGTGCTGCGGAGCTCGAAGTCCATCATATAGGTAATGAGGGACTCTAAGAGGATTTCAAGCATTTAAATCTACTGTAGAACGTGAGCTGGAAGGAGATACGGATGCATCCTCAATGCTAAGAGTGCCATCTACACCTGACAGCCCCGTGCCCAGGCGTGCTGAGTTCCGCCAGACTTTTTCCTATCTCGGAATCTGGAACAGATTTTGACATACAAGAGTTGCTCAAATATTTATGGAACCAACTAACGTGTCCTAACGTTGTCTGTGGAAAACAGGAGAGGGACGACAAGTTCCAACACTGTGAACGCTCCTCCTCCAAATAGCCCAAAGGTCCGTTGGAGTAGCGTCTATGAATCACTGGGTCCGGTTTCGTCCATCCTGACTCTTTGCAGCAGCGTCCAGGCAGGGCAATGCCACGTCCTGGGCAGGGCTCCCGCCAGGCGGGGTGATTTGCCCTGCATATACCCTCAAAGACACCGAAATAGAAGATTGATTATGTTCACGTCCCCGCACCAAGACAGGAGTGGGCTGTGCGGTGGAGACGAAAGGGCCTAAGTGGCCCTATCTAAAACGGGCTGTCTCTATAAAGGACGCTGTTTCTTCCATAGCAAGGATCACTTGTAGTTCTTTCTCCTCTTTGCTTTGAGACTCTCGATTCCAACAGTCTGTGAGCAGGGACTTTCGTGGCAGAAGGGACCGCGTCTGTCTTGTCCCCACAGCATCCCTGGAGTGCAGGGAATTCGGGGGAATGCAGCCGGAGGAGCGAGGGCCTCTGAGAAAGGCCGGTGGCGCCTCCGGCCCCTCGGTGACCTTAGTGGGGAGAAGCGGCTGTGAAGGGCAGGTCGGGCCGCCTTCGCGGAGGGCGAGACCCAGGCGCCGGCTGCACACGCCGGCGGCGGGACCGGGCCGAGGGCGGCAAGCGCGGGTAGGACCGGGAAGCGGCGGGCGGGCCGCACAGAAAGCGCGGCGCCCCTCGGCGACTGCAGCGGGCAGCGGCGGGACGCCTCCCGCGCGGTGCTTTGGGAGTTGTAGGCACTTTCTTTCCACTCTCCAGCTCTTTGCTCTTGAAGCCCAAGCCCGTACAGGCGGGCGGGCGCCTGTGACTCCTAGGCTGCGAACTCTGGGAATTTTTAATTTCTAAAAAGATGCCCTGCATAGGACTCTTCCCAGGGTGCCGCCTTCGCTCCGCCCGGTTTGAGGACTACATTTCCCAGGCGACCTCAAAGAGGCGGGGCTTCCGGCGCGCGCGATGCATTGTGGACATTGTAGTCCTAGGCGGGGCTCGATTTCCACCTCCTGTACAGTCCGGAGCTGGGCCCGGACTACATTTCCCTTCCGTCCGCCCACTATCCCGAGGCCGCCTTGGCGCGAGACATTTGCGAGCTGAGTGTCTCCAAGATGGCCGGTTGGGGAAGGAGGCGTCTTGGCCCGGGCAGCAGTGGCGGCAGCGCCCGAGAGAGGTGAGATCCGGGGGCCTGTTGCTTTCCCACGGCGAGTGGCTCAGGAGCCTGGAGGCCAGTGAGGCCTCCTGGGGCTGCGGTGCTGTCCCTGCCTTCGTCCCCGGGCCCCCTTTTCCGCCCACCCGCCCTCCTCGTAGCCCTACGGGGCACGAGGGGTTCCTGTCCCGGCCGATCCAGGATCTGGATGGGAGCCGGCACCCGCTCTAGCCCGGCTGAAGCGGCCTCCGCGGAGGGCTCAGGGGAGGTGACGATGGCGGGGCCGGGCGACGTGGGCCGCGTCCATACAGGGGCCGGGCCGGGCCCGGGCCACGCGGGAAGGACCGGGAGCCCCGCGCAGGCCCAAGGGACCCGCCTATAGCATCCCGCGGCCGAAGCTCCCGTCCCGCCTGGCCACGAGCGTGGCCGTCTGGGCCGCGACCCCTGACGTGGTGAGGAATGGCTCCCGGGAGGAAGAAGGAAGGGAAGCCTTCACCGAGTGGGCCAGCTGCGGGAAGGGCAGTGCAGTCTGCACGTTTATCAGGGTAGCTTTAACCTTCCCCAGTTTGTCTCCCGGGCCGAGAGCTGGCCGCTTCCTCGAACCCTCGATTCTTGCGACTTTTCGAGGGTTCTCTGCAAGCGCCCCTGCCGTGGAAGTCCTTTAAAGTGACCTTTCCTAATGAATGATGTGTGGGTAGGGAGCTAGGGGCTTGTTTCTTCCAAGGTGGATCTCGATTTGGAGAACTGATTTCTAGAAGATGAGATTGGAATGGTTTTTGTGTTTCGTGTTGAATTTACAGGTTTTGCTTCAGGAAAGCAGTTTCAGCTAGTAGAAGCCACTAGAAGCTGTTCAGCTACTAGAAATTTGGGGAAGGATTTGTATTGGTGGAGTCACCTGGATTCAACTGCTCTGTCCATTGTGTTGTGGCTTGGTTGGTTGGTGTAGCTGAGGTTAGCAAGAAAGTTGGTGTTTGCTTTTTTTTGTCTCTTTGGAAAGGCTTATTACCCAGAAAAGTTCTCTCTGCCCCCCTCCGCCCCCCGCCTTTCTCTTAACTCTCCTCATTACTCCTTTTCTTTGATTCCATCACATGTTCATTGCTGTTGCCTGCAGATGGTTTTTTCAGCTCAGAAGACTCTTCCTGTTTGGTAGCTGCGATAGACCAGCTTACATTTTATTCTTAAGCTCAGAGTTATCCAGCGTTGTCTGTTCTGCACTTCCTCTTCTGTGGAAAAGCAGTGAATGGCAAGCAGATAATTTTTGTTTTTCCAACTCCCATGTGCTATTTCTTAGATCAGACCATAGGAAGAAGTTAAAGAAGTGACCTCGATGGTTTCCAGATGGCCTTTAAACCTGCAAACGTTTTCAAATCTTTAATGCGACCATTAATCCTGTTTAGAAAAGCCGGAGTAGCTGAGAGAAAGGCATTTCTCCCTCCTGGATAAAAACAGCTGGAAGGGCCAAATAGGAATGCCCCAGACACCATACAAGAAGGGCTGCGCCATCACAAGTTAAGCTTTTATTGATCTAAGAAATGAGATACTGGGGATCTTATCTCCTTGGTTGGAGACAGGCATCAATTCAAAACGGAGTCTGTAAACTAGCAGCCCGTAGGCTGAATCCAGCCCTTGACTGTTGATTCTCAGGTTTTAAAAAGAATTTAAATCAGTTGCCAATACTTATAAGTTGAAAGATTTCACATAAAACTGCCCTTGAAAAGCTGAGTAGTGGCTGGCTTTTTTTTCGGTCAGGGCAAGTGCTCTCCAGTTCATTACTCACCTGACAGCTTGACTCATCGCAGTTAACTGCCTAGTCTCCCTAGGTGTGCAGGTTGCAACCTTTGGCCTGGAACTGAAGGCTCTGCTCACAAATGCAGATGCTGTATGTCAGCCAGGAATGGGGCATCAAATTTTGTGATTCGGGTGGCCCCATCTCTCTCTCTTCCAGATAACTGTGGTGTGTGGCTGGGGGAGACCCTTCTGTTTGCCTTTTCTGGGAGCCCCTAGCCAGGCTCTGTTGGAGGAGTCATCTGTCTGAGCCCAGTTTCCCTAATAATCCTCCCACACTGAGCAGGGGATGGAAACATAACCCGCTGCTGGGCCAGCTAGCTAACTTCTGGGCACACCTCCATTCCTGCTCTGTGGGTGGAAAGACTGTTCGGGTGGGGCAGGCTGGATTAATTGATTGCCCAGCACCGTAGATTAAGAGGCCCAAGCATATTATTGTCTCTTAGGACTGAAATAGGCTGTTTATGGCTCTCTTAAATGAGTTTGTTCCATGTCACATTTGTGCTGCCTCAAATCTCAGCTTCACATTGGAAGACCACTTTCCAGAATTGCTTGACACACCCAGTTGGAGTCTGCTTTATGCTGAAAGCGAAGGACACACTGCCTGGTTTGGGGCAGGAGCTGGAGCAGAGCAACACTTTGGGCAGGCTTTCCAGATTTGCCAGTGGCTGCAAACTCCAAGGCATGACTTGTATTTAAAGGCCCGGCCCAGGGCCATACCATCCACCGGCATTACTGACCTCAGCTCTGTATTAATGGTGGTCCACTTTAGAATGCACAATGTATGAATTCTTTACCTGGTTCTTGAGTCTAGAGCTGTGTGTTCATTCTGTAGCCACTAGTCACATGTGGCAATTAAATTTCAGTTAATTAAACACAGGGGCCCCTGGCTGGCTCAGTCAGTAGAGCGTACAACTCCTGACCTCAGGGTTGTGAGTTCGAGCCCCATGTTGGGTGTAGAGAGTACTTAAAAAAAAAAAAAAAAATCTTAAAAAATTAAATAAAAATAAATGAAAAAATGCAGGTCCTCAGTCACACTAGTCACATTTCGCTCAGTGGCCACGTGGGACTCGGGGCTACCACATTGGGTAGGGCAGCTGTGGAACCGCTCCGTCACCGCAGAACGTTCTAGTGATGCGACAATGCTGGTCTAGACTACAAGACGAGACGGGTGGAAATAGCACAATGCCAGCTGCTTGCATGTTGATTTTTCTCTCCACTCCATTAAATCCAGGGACTCAGCAGTGTTTGTCATGAAGAACATCAGACTCTGAGCTGTAACCTGAATTCTTGTCCAGAATTCAGCACACTGGCAACGAGCACACGAAACAGATTGCCACTTGTCCCGTCGGCGTCTTTGAGACACACTTGCCGATCTAGGAAGGCACAGTGCAGGTACCTGTGTGTTCTGCCCCTTGGGTGCCACCCCGGACCAGCCCACAGACGGCCCCACCTGTCCTCCTTGGGCTGCTTGTCTTCACTCCCTCAGGGCCTCCGAGCGTGATTGTTGGAATGTGAGTATAACCACGTACTCTCAGCTTCCGCTCTTCTCATCACATGAAGATCTACTTGATCTGATTCTGATCATGATGCAAGGCAGCAGCGCTGTTTACAGACCTGGGGTGTTCAGGGGGCCGGGCATACTGGCCTAAATGCTCAGGTGTTCGGGAGAAGGCACTTCTTGCGGCCCTCCCCTGGCGTGTGTGGCCGTCTGCCCGTGTTTTTAGGGAGCCAGGTCCGTGGGATTATGTCCACGTCTTTCTGTACCATATACCTTCTTTCCCAGGACTCGGTCCTCCTTTTCTGACAGTGTTGCTTTAATATGTGAATTGAAGAGACGTGGTCCTGGATGGCTGGTAGGGAGTTTAGGTCCCAGTCCAGCTGAACAGATGGGCCACAAGCCATGTGGGCAGTTGGCCCACATTCCGGGAGTGACACTCTCCTCATTCTGATCTGTTCTTTTCCTTCTAAAGCTGAGGACCCTAAGTGGTCGGGGGTATTTTTTTTTTTTTCTCGTGGAAAACTGCCTTTCCGGCTCTAGTATGTGGTAAAAATGTTTCTTTCATCCTGCTCTGGATGAGCCACACAGGTAGAGCGTCTGCACCCGGGTCTCTGGGTGTGTGGGTCCTCCCCAGCTGGCTACCAGAAGGTGGAGTCGTGCACACTTAGGCCACCTGTTCTGATCCCGGAACTTGGATATTGCAAGTTAAGGTCATCTGTGGGGTTCATCCTCTTAAGGCACGATTTTCCATTTTCCTGGATCGAGTTGAGCAGTCTGGTTCCAGCCGCAGTACCTTGTGCCTCGGGGGTTTAGTCCTTTAGGCCCTGTTCCAGCTCCATCCCAACTTCCTGAAGAAGGGCGAGATAATCTTGTTTGCGGGGAGGGGAGGCGGAGGCCAGGCCTGAGTTGGGCTTCTCCGTCCGGGGCCTCGGTGAGCAGGGGCAGTGGGAGGAGGTGGGAGGTCCTCCACGGAGCAAACCCTTGGGCACCTCCCAGCTGCCACTGTGTTCTGTCCCTGCCGCCAGCAGCAGCATTATGGGCCACGGAGTTCTGGGGAGAGCCAGTAATCGCTTAGTAGAGTCGTAGGAGTCCTTTAGCTCAGGGCTGTTCGGTAGGATTTTCTGCCGTTAAGAGAAATGTTCTGTCTCTGTGCTGTCCGTTAGGGTAGCCGTTGGCCGCAGGTGGCCGTGGAGTGTTCGAGGTGTGGCCCCCGGATCTGAGGAACTGGAGTTGTTACTTGACAGTTTTAGTTAATTTAAATACAAACAGCTGCGTGGGCCTTCCACTGGGGGGTGCTTTGCAGCTGTCCCTTTGGCTGGCATAGCCGACCCCATTCCACCCTCGCTGCGGCACTCACTCGGGAAGAGCTGGGGCCTTTGCCCGGTTTGACCCGAGGCAGCGTGGCTTAGAGCAGCAGGGGCTTTTGCCCTTGGCTACAAAGCCAGCGGGTCACCGAGAGGAACTGGAATCCAGGTCTCCGGACTCCCCCACTCGGTGCACTGTGTTCTTCTTCCACGGCAGAGCGCCGTGCAGTTCCCAGAGCGCCAGGGAGGAGCGTGTGCTCTTGCGCGGGGCTTTCTCTGAATCAGATGAACATGCCAGGTGCCCGTGGAAGTTCCTTGGCCTGTTTGGAGTCATTCTCAACATCTGGGGCTATGTGCCTGTGCCTTTCTGTCCGAAGTGGCCTTTGAATCCACAACCTAGAACCCTCCTGCTTGCTTTGGCAATTTTGGGTTAGCCAAAAGTGGATTCTAGGTCTGGGGGGGTAGAGGTAAAGTCCGGCACCTCACAGAGCACAGGTAATGGAGTGGCCACATGCTTAGTAGGTGGAAAGCAACCTGACATATGGACCTAGTTTAATTTTTCACCCACCTGTTCTCTTAATTACTGTAATTGTTTTTCCCTGCCACTCATTTCGAATGTGCTTCCGCTGATGTCTGCTGGTACCCTGTCACATTCAGGCCCGGTGCTGGGTTGCTGTGGTGAAAACACAGTCTGCCTCCACAATCTGACAGTCCGAACGGACAATCCTTTGTGTTTCAGACGGGAGCTCACAGCCCGGGCCTGCCTGGGAGCCCAGGGCCCGCTCCAGGAAGTGGGCCCAAAGGAAGGCCTTCCGCTACAGTTAGATTAGCCTCTTCCGGTTCTGCCAGGACCAGAAAGTGATGGTGGCCTGCACGGCCCCTTGGCCAGTGCTTGCTTGAGCCGACAGGGAAATGGAATTTTCCTCCTGCTCACTGGCAGGATGGCAGGGGGCTGAGACCAGCAGGCTACCTCAGCCACAAGATGCTGCCTGTGCCCAGACTCGCGGCGGTGGGCTCATTCCCTGGTAGCGCGGGCTTCTCCGCAAGCACGGAGACGCTGCTGGAGCCGGAATTGGGCTCCCTCCGCTCACCTCGGCTGTGGACGGTCCACGGCTGTGGGGTCTTGTCACCCCAAGGGATATGGGGCTGTCGAGCAAGAGTTTTCTTTTTTCTTTCTTTTTTTTTTTTTAAAGATTTTATCTATTTATTTGAGAGAGAGAGAGAGAGAGAGCATGAGAGGGAAGAGGGTCAGAGGGAGAAGCAGACTCCCCGCTGAGCAGGGAGCCTGATGCGGGACTCGATCCCGGGACTCCAGGATCATGACCTGAGCTGAAGGCAGTCGCTTAACCAACTGAGCCACCCAGGCGCCCAAGAGTTTTCTTTTTTTAAGAAAAAGTTGACCATTAATTTTCCCATTATGAAAGAAGCACATGTGTATTTGTTTTCTTTTTTGAGAAAGACAGAAACCTATGAAGGAAAATAAAATTTTAGTCACCTGTTAGGCCACCATCCGAAGAAAACCATTGTTGACTTTTCTTTATGTATAGCATCTTTGATACTTCCCTCCAGATGTTTTGTCTTGCATTTAAAAAAAAACTGTATGTTACACACATCAAAAGTATGTTCCTAACATGTGAAAAGTCATAAGCTTGCTGCCATGTGTCTGGCCCCTGAAAACATTACCCTCCGTGAAAGATGCCAGTCACAAAAGGCCGCAGACATGATTGCGTTTATATTGAATGTCCAGAATAGGTGAGTCTGTCGAGCCAGGAAGTAGACTGGTGCTTGCCAGCAGCTGGGGAGGCCTGGGGGAGATGGGGAGCGATGGGGTTTCTTTTTGGGGTGATGGAAATACTCCAGAATTGCTCATGGTGCTTGCTGCACAATGCAGCGAAGGCGCTGAGCCACTGAATTGTACACTCCAGATGGGTGAATTGTGCGGCATGTGACTGCTATCTCCATAAAAAGTACGAATCAAAACCACAGTGAGATCCCCACCTCACACCCATCAGGATGGCTACAATTACAAACAAAAACAAAACAGAAAATTAGAAGGATTACTGAGGTTGTGGAGCAGTTGGACCCCACATGCCCTTTTGGTGGGGATGTAAAGGGATGCAGCCGTGGGTAGTGTGGCGGTTCTGCGACCAGTGGGAAGTGGAATCCCCACACAGTCCAACACTTCTGCCTCTAGACGTATATCCAGAAGAATTAGAAGTGGAGACCTGAGCCAATCATTTTCTACTACGCTCACAGAAGCAGTATTCCCAGTAGCTAGAAGGTGGAAGTAGCCCAAGGGTGATGGATGAACAAGTGTATAGACGTACGATGGAATAGTTTTTCTTCATCCTTAAGAAGAAAGGAAATTCTGACTCACGCTGTAGAACGTGGGTGAACCTTGAAAACATCATGTCGAGTAAGCCAGTTGCAGAAGGACAAATACTGTACAATTGCACTTACGTGTGGTACCTAAGGTTGTCCAGCTCAGAGACACAAAGTCGGGGGGTGGGGAGTGGGGGCTGTTGCTTCACGGGGGCAGAGTTGTCGTTTTGCCAGCGGAAAGCATCCCGGAGATTGGTTGCACGACAGCGGCAAGGTGCCGAACACTACTGAACCGTGCACTTAACATATGGTCAGGGGGCGCCTGGGGGGCTCAGTCGTTAAGCATCTGCCTTCAGCTCAGGTCATGATCCCAGGGTCCTTGGATCGAGCCCCGCATCAGGCTCCCTGCTCAGCGGGAAGCCTGCTTCTCCCTCTCCCACTCCCCCTGCTTGTGTTCCCTCTCTCGCTGTGTCTCTCTCTGTCAAATAAATAAATTAAATCTTTAAAAACAAACAAACAAAAAGAAACAAATGGTCAGGATGGTACATTTTATGTGGGTTTCACTGTGATTTGAAGACACAGTAAACCCGTGTGTTCCCCGCTCAGCCTTAGTAGAAAACGAGCATTACCCTGGCCCACGTGTCCCTACCGGCAGGCAGAGGCCCCCTTGCTCATGACTTGTCATTTCCTTGCTGTTCTTCACAGTTAGTGCACATGGAGACATTCCTCGGTAGCAGCGCCTCCTTGGGTTCTGTGCGCTGCTGCACGCGTGTGTGGGGTGTGCACCTGCATGTTACCGGCTTTCTCCCCCACCTTACAAGTGAGGGATTCAGCTGTGCCTCCATTTTCGCTCTGATGGAGGAACCGCCTGAGTCGGCGATCTCTTCGTCTCAGTGCTGCTTGGAACGTTTTTGCACAGCTCTCACTTTGGGGGAGGTATCTCCAGACTTTGGGGATCCCATGTGTGAGACTACTTTTGTAATTCCGGATTCCTCTGAGCCCGGCTTCCCGATGGTCTAGGGGACCAGGGCGCCACATGCTGGGCAGGCTGCCAGGGGCACAGAGGGTGCCCACATCTGGGGAGTGGAGTTCATCCGGCTGCTTCGCCATGGCCACCTTTGCACCGGAAAGCCCGTGTTCGCAGGGAGTTCCTCTGATGACCGTTTCCTGACTACCTCCGGAGCGGATTCAGAGGAGAGGGGAGGGTCTCAGGCCCACTCTGGTTGAAGGCAGAGGGAGGGAGGCCGATTCAGGAGCCCCAGTGACCAAGTGCCCATGACCCTGAGGCAGCGTCCACAGCAGCCCCTCCGGCTCAGGTGAGAGAGCATCAGCTCTGCCGCACAGGCTACTTCAGGGCTCCCCAGGCAAACTGACCTCAGCACGGGCG